CTTCCTTCCTGCCTTTTTTCCTTCCTGCTTTCCTTCTTCTTTCCTTTCTGCCTTCCTTCCTTCTTTCTTCCTTCCTTCCTGCCTTTTTTTCCTTCCTGCCTGCCTTACTTCCTAAGGCTAAGAACTGTTTATGGTCTCAGAACCCTTCATGTTTCTGAAGTTCACAGTGGTCGTATGCTATGGCGCTCTCTCTCTCTCTCTCTCTCTCTCTCACACACACACACACACACACACACACACACTCACTCACTCTAGGATGATAATTTCTTAGGGTTGGAAAGACCCTTAGCAATTATCTAGTACAGAGGTTCTTAATCATTTTTCATGTCATGGACCCCTGGAGTACCAGTGTAGTGAAGCCTAGGGACCCCTTCTCTGAATGTTTTTAACTGCATAAAATAAAATGCATAGGATTATAATGGAAACCAATTATATCTAGATACAATTATCAAAATATTTTTTAAAAACAAGTTCACAGACTCCAGGTTAAGAACGCTTGATCTAGTCCAACATGCTCATTTGACAGAGGAAGAAACTGAGGCTCAGAGAAAGGAAAGTGACTTGCCCAAGGTAACAAGGGTTGCAAGTGGGATAGCCAGGATTTGAACCCACCTCTTCTAATTCCAGTTCTGTTGTCTCTCTGACTCCCCCCTTTTCTCCCCACCCCTTCTCTCTTTCCTTCTCTCTCCTTCCAGCATCACTGCCGTGAGGCTCTCAGATGGTTTCACCTTTGTTGTCTATGAGTTCTGGGAGACTGACGAGGAGTGGAAGAGGTAGGACCAAGTCAATTTTCAGTATTTTATCTTGATGACTCGGAATGCCAGGGAGCCAGCTCAGTAAGACTTCCCAAACCAGGGAAACAATCCTCTAGCCTCCCTTGATGATTTGTTGCACAGCTGATTCTGCTGCCTCTATGAAAAACTGTGGCTTTTCTTCCTTCCTTCCTTCCTTCCTTCCTTTCTTTCTTCCTTCCTTCCTTTCCTTCTTTCTTCCTTCCTTCCTTTCCTTCTTTCTTTCTTCCTTCCTTTCCTTCTTTCTT